GCGCTAGACTCTGACGTGAAGCTGAAAATAGTGACTTCTCCAGGCTGACTTTCTGTCGGACGGTTTCAAGTATCCCCTCGTTCTGGATAAGCTGAGAAAGCAGAGGTATTTGGCGGACATTCAAGTAACGGGGGTGAGCAGGGGGGTCCCTGGGGTCTCCGCTCAGGGCACGGCTTGGGCGAGGTGAGTCTCGGGGTCCCTCTGCGGCTCTCAGAGTGAGGATGTGGGGCTGTGTGCACGGTGGCCCTGAAGGGGATGACAGGCAGGGGCGGGGGAGCCTGGGAAGCACACACGGGCCACGCCCCTCGGGCCTGCGTCCCTCGCGCATTGGCCTTCGGTGAGCAAACCAGTGAGCCAGCAAACCTCGTGCGGCGGACAGAAGGCGTGATGACCTCGGTTGGTACCTAGGAGGTCAAACCTGTGACCTAAGGGCTGTCCAGTTTTTCCTAAGTTTCTAACAGTCGATACAAGAATCCAGACCGAACACGAAACGGTTGAGGATCAAGTCTTTCTAGCCTTGGGGAAAAGCATTTTCTCTTGGGAACCACGAGAGATGCCTAGTGAGGCTTGGTGCGAAACAGACGGGTGAACCTGTCCCCACCCTTTATGTCGTGTGGTGTCTGAGGGAAGGAGAGGGCTCGTGGAATAACGGGAGCTGCTGCAGTACGTTTACCTGGGAGGGTCTGAAAACAACTGGAGAAGGTAAGGGGTCGTGCCCAGAAGGCGACACGTGGCTCTTGTTGGGTAGTTAGCGGAGATGGGGAGGAAGGGCACTAGGAAACACGCCTTCTCGGTGAGACCCGCCTGAGGACCACCGGCGCCCCGCACCCTGCCAGGGCCGCGGGGAGTCACGGCCGGCCCGGGCGCACACGCTCCCCCTCCGCCTGGGCAGTGGCGTCCAGCCTGTCCCGGCCTTCCTGAACAAGGAGTGCCCAGCCCCGCGCTCCACGCCGCGCCCCTCCTGTGCGCACGCACCCCCAGGGAAACATAAGACGTCACCGAAGAACAGAAACACAAATGCAACGCGAAAGCACAGCTTCCACCAAGTGCACGGTTGCCCTGGAAATGCCTCCTTCCGCTCCCCTCCAGGCCCCCGCGTGGCGGCCCGGCCTCCGGGCTCCCCTCTGGCTCCCTCCCTCCAGCTCAGGGTTGCCGGCGCCCCGGGAGGGGAGGGGGTCTCCCGTGGGCCAGAAAGAGGAAAGCAGACAGAGAAACCGGGTCTTTGGGAGAGCACGGGGAGGGGGCTGACAGAGGGCCGTGGCCGGCTGTCGGGCCTAGAGCTCTGTCTCCGAACCTCCGGGCGGGAGCGCGGACCCCGGCCCTGCAGCCCCCGCCAGCCATCCAGCCGCGGGGGGAACAAGGACACGGGCCGGTGTGTGTGGGTCGGTGGGGGGGGGGGGCACAGGCTGCAGCTGGCTCCTCCCCAAGGACGTGCTGTTCTTGTGAAAAGAGGCTTCCGAGGCAAGGATGCTGCTCGCCGGTTCCGGGCCGGGCTCCCCCCACTTTCGGGTCTGCGACCCGGGAGAGAACAGCCAACGCCTCAGTCAGAGACGAGGGGGAGATGGGACAAGGGCTCTTTGGATCATGTGGAGGGGACCCGGCGCCTAGTCTTGGGTGCCACGTGCCGACCCCGTCCTTCCGGCAACAGGCGAACCAGCCAGCGCGCCCTCCCGGGCCAATAACGAGGACGCCGGTGTCCGGGTCTGGCCAAGTCGCTGGCTCTGTAACTGGCAAAAAATCTCTGTCTCTCAATATAAGCCACGATCGGAAAAGACCTCCAGAGTCCGAAGGGCCCTACGGGCCATCAGCAGGGCGGTGAGCGGTGACACAAGTCGGTCTGGCTTTGCTCGGGGGGGAGGAGGCGGGAGGCCGGAGGCGGTGGGAGGTCCCGGGGCCGGATCCCATCCAGGCGGAGCGAGAGAACGTGGAATGAGTGGAGGCGCCCGGGCCCGTGGCCGGGCGGTGGTCACTCCGTGGCGCCCGTGGCGGGGGCCCAGGCCGCTGCCCGCGAGCCCGAGGACGCTCTGCAGAGCCTGCGGGCACTACAGCCTCGTGGACGTGAGTCTCTTCATGCCCCTGCGCTGCGCCAGGCTGGACGACAGCACGGGCTCCAGCCGCGGCGCCTGCGGGGTTCGGTTCAGGGCAAAGTAGGTGGCGGCCATAGCCCCCTGCAAAGCGAAAGGAAGAGGCGGGTGACCCGCTGCCCGCCCACTCCTGAGGGGGCCCGACCCCGGCCTCGCTGAGCCCTCGTCTGCGCGCGCACGGCGGGCACAGACACCCTTCCTGCCGGACCCGGGGCGCGGGGCGCGACGTGCTCACTGCAGGGTCCACTTGCACTGGGGCCTCGTGAGTAACGCGTCCGTCCACCGCCCCCCGCCAGTCCCGAACTATGCCTGTGGCCTGTGACCTGGGGTATTCCGGACGCGCACGGAACCCCAGGATGGGGTCCTGGGCCCCCTCGCCCCGTGCCGTGGTACGTTGCCACACCAGCAGGACTTTGGGAGACCCGAAAGGGCTGACCCTGACGTCTGGCTGTGGTGTGGCCCCAGTCCTTCCTGAGAAGCTCCAGGCAGCCACTGCCCAGCATGTGAGGCAGAACCTGCCCGTTCCTGCGGTGTAGAGCCCCCCCCCCCCCCACCGGTTCTCTGGATGCCCCCCAGTCTATCTGGTTTGCCCAGCGGGGTGTGGGTGAATCACGACCCAGGTGGCCAGAAGCCACTGCCTTGCCATGGTTACGTGCAATGACACGTGGCTTCCATCAGAACAGTTGTACCGGAAGGTCAGGAGAAGCAAGGCTGGGATCGCCGGATGGCAAGGGTCGATGGAGGGACATGAGTTACAGGAGCAGCTATTCTGTCCGCTAAAACCCTTTGATCCCTGGGGGGACACTCTCACTGCTGCTGGCCGCGTCCTGATGGCGTTCCCTCCACAGCCTTGTGTCTCTTTCGCGGGCGTCAGGACACGCTCGCCTAGGGGGCGCAGCCAGACTCCACGTTGCATGTGCTGTGGGACACGTCCCAGGAAGCCGAGGGAAGCAGTTGTGGTGAATGGCGGGGTCAGCAGACGACCACGCTGGGGCCCAGCCCAGGGCCCCCACTCTTGTAGATAAACTTCTACTGAAACACAACTGCATCCATCCACCTGCATATTGGTTCTGTGCTACGGCAGGACATCCGAGGTGTAGTGACAGAGACACCTGAGTCGAAAAGCCTCAGATGTTCACAGTCTGGGCCTCTACAGTCAAGTCTGCAGGCCTCTGATCTGGAATTGAGGGCTGGGGCGCCCGGGTGGCTCGGTCGGTTAAGCGACCGACTCTTGATCTCTGCTCGTGATGTCATGCTCTGTGGGATCGAGCCCCACCTTGGGCTCCGTGTTGGCGGTGTGGAGCCTGCTGGGGATTCTCTGTCTCTCTCCGCCCCTCCCCTGCTTGTATGCTCCCACCCCCCACCCCCACCGCCAAAATAAATAAACATTCAAAAAATCATTAGAATGAAGGGCTTTGGAACCTTGAATTGGTACAGATGTAGGACTCCATCCGCCTCCCTCTCTCTCTCCTTCTCTCCCACTCTCCACCCCATTTGTCTGTCTGTCTGTCTCTCTCCCACTTTCTCTCCGTCTCGGTCTCATATGCACGCGGGTGCGTGCACACACACACACGCACACAAGGAAGCTGTTCAGGGTTGTTCACAGACGTGGTAGCTTATTCAGAGCTTTGCATGTGGTGGCTCGTCGGTGAAGAAACGTGTGGAAGTAAGAAATGAGGGATACGTGCTGCGCCTGTGATCGGTTCCCCGCCTGGCCCCCACACTGTGATTTCTTCGGGTGAACTGGGAGGTCTCAGGGCCACGCCTCTGTGTTCCCCACCCCACTGTTGTGCCCCCCCCCCCCGACCATTTGTTGGTACCTTCACCAGGTGGGCGTCCTGTCTGCTGAGCTGGTTTTGGGACAGGTACTCTCTGTTCACGATCCATGGGTGTTTGAGAACTTGAACTGCCGTCAGGCGCTGATGAGGGTCCACGTGGAGCATCTTGGATACGACATCCTGTAAGGGCAGATCACAGGGAGGGGAAAGGGGGGATGATCAAAGCTGATTCAAACAGGCTCCCGAGTAAAATTCCTTTGTTTCCTCTCACGGCAAAACCTCACCGTTGTCCCGGCCGATTCTTAGCATCTTGGGGTCACGTGTTCACGTTCAGCTTTTAAAGTATGTGAGTGATTTTTAAATCTTAATTATCATCGACTTGGTGGCTCATTCCAGGCTTATAGCGGATTAAAGATTTTACATCCAAAGAGAACTCAAACGTGGAAATGTTAAACGGTGCATATAATGTAATGAAATGGTATTTTAGTCAAAATGATATCCTTCCAAAGGGAGAAGCGAAAATAATGATTGTCCCACAGATTTAAACCAGTTATAACACTGGATGCAGGGGCGCCCGGGTGGCTCAGTTGGCTAAACGTCTGACTTCGGCTCAGGTCATAATCTCAAGGTTCCTGAGTTTGAGCCCCGTGTCGGGCTCTGTGCGGACAGCTCAGAGCCTGGAGCCTGTTTCCGATTCTGTGTCTCCCTCTCTCTCTACCCCTCCCCTGCTTGCACTCTCTCTCCCTCAAAAATAAATACACGTTAAAAAGAGAACAATGGGTGTAGTTACATTTAAGTATAACTATCCATAAACATTTGCTATAAATAATCACCAGCCATGGAATTGACAATCTGTAGCCATTACACGTGTCCGACGGGCTAACAGTGTCCAACAGAGGTAATTTTTAATTCTTTTTTTCCTTTTTCTTTTTTTAATGCTTATTTATTTTTGAGAGACAGAGCATGTGTTGGGCAGGGGCAGAGAGAGGGAAACACAGAATCCGAAGCAGGCTCCAGGCTCCGAGCTGTCGGCACAGAGCCCGACGTGGGGATCGAACCCATGAACCATGAGATCGTGACCTGAGCCGAAGTCGGACGCTTAACCGACTGAGCCAGCCAGTGCCCCAGACGTAATTTTCTTATTTCACTATAAGGTAATAACAATAAAAAGTCCTCCAAGTAGCTTAAAGACAAAGCTCCTGTTTATGCCACACATCGCAATACACGTACACGTGTGCACACACAGTTACGGCTGTGATCGGTATCTGCATAGCATTCATGAGACTGTCTTCACGTGCTCGATGCACCTGTTCTCAAGAGTCATCGGGACTGGCCTTGGGGGAAGGAGGGCAAATATTACTTTCCCTGTTTTGCAGATGAAGGTGTCGACATTTGTAGCCATTGAACAATTGTCCAAGGAAGAGCCATGACGAGAATCCATGCTCTTCTGCTAGCCTGCTCATCTTCCTCTGGTATCGCCGTGACATTTCTCAGTGAAACACATGAATTAGCGCACATGCATACCGCAACGTTGAAGCACTCAACAGGAGATCTGGTCATAAACCAGGAAGGAGGAATACCATAGACTAATACAAAATCTTTTCTTTCTATAGAGAAATCCCATGCCTTTTAATATTTGATAACATTAATCTTAGTAACTTCTTGCAAGAAATATGTTCTGGAAATATTACTGTTCCCGTTTCCAAGTGTAAAAATGGAAGCAGAGAGACCTTTATTTATTCGCTCAAGATCTCCTAGTAAATAACACCTTTCTACACGGTACGCGCAGGATGCGGGTAAAGTAACAACAGACAAATCCACGGGCTGTGTCTGTTTTGGGGAAGATTGGAGGTTTGTTGTACGTACGGTGAACACAGAGGGGAAAAGGCACGGGGCCAGATGAGGTAGAAGACAGGGCGGTGAAGGGGCAGGAGGAAATCGTCAAGGTCCTGGGAGGCAGTGAAGCCCTCTGCCTGCAATCTTGGTGCTTGACTTGATCCTGCACTTGACTTGACTCCTGTTCTTGACTTGACTCCTTTCCTGACGCCTTCTCCCTGCCTCCCACTCTTGCCTCCAAGATCACCTCACAAAGGAACCCCCAGCACCCGAGTGCTGGTCTACTTTGGGGACCACCAGACTAGACAATTCCTATACTCATTTGAGACAGAGTGGATGGAAGGGAGCAGTGGGAGCGGCAGGGTCTGACACAAGGGATGTGCTCACCAGACACCATCTGCTGTCTCCTCTGCCATCACCTCTGCCATGACCTCCGCCATCACCTCTGTCATCACCTCCGCCATGACCTCTGTCATCACCTCCACCATGACCTCTGTCGTCACCTCC